AAAGTGTTTTTAAATATTTTTGAGGTGATAAAATATTTTAAAATTTTTGTCAAAATATTAAAGCTATTTAATAATAATTTTTAATAAATAAATTATTTTTAAAAAATTTTAAAAATTTTTAAAACTTAATAAATAACATAAAATCAACTAATATCATTTTTTGGATGGACATCATATAATTGTTATAATTTTTTTTACACGTAATAGTACTTTCAAAATCAATTTTAATTTTATAAAGTATAATTTATTTTTTAAAAAATCTTTAATCAAATTTAAGAATTTAAAAAAATAAATTTATTTAATTAATTAATCACACTTAAAATAAAATTCACAATGATTATATTATATTTAAGGATCATGTTTTGAAACTTATATGTTATAACAATATTCGGATGTTCCCTCAAAAATAAAATTGTCAGGCTCTCATTTTCTATGCAACGGAGAAGATGAAGACAGAATTTCGTTTTACTCCGTGGCCAATTTGACCATCCTTGCTTGCTCTTAGCCTTAGGTGTAGCGCATGCACAGGAAAGTTCAACTTTTTCGAGTAAAAAGTCAAAAGTCAAACAAATTGTTTGCACGTGATCAGAATTTCACGACAAAATGATCGCTTGTATCAGTTAAGGTTGTGGTTTAAAAATAATAATAATAAAAAACTCCAACAAATGTAAGAAAACGTTGTTGTTATTTTTATATATTATGTCATCACTCTCCAATTTCAAAAAGAGTTAATTTAATCTTTGGATTCAAACATTTGGAAATTCAATCATAAAACATGTTTTAATATGGTGAAAAATTCTAATCAAATCTTAAATGGATTCTTGATTTTTTATTCTTTAATTAGTTAAAATAATTAAGAGTTCATTTAAATGAACGATAAGATCAATTTTAATGAAATTAAAAATAACGATAAAAATAAGATTAATTATTGTAATAATTAAATTAAAATCAGTAATATAATATATATATATATATATATTATATTACAACATATAAAATTATATGATAAAAATTATTTATTTGGATGCTTAGGTGAATAATTTCTTTTAATAACACATAAGATAATACTTATATTATTTTATTTATCAAATAATTTTTTAATAATTCTTTTAAATTGAATATTTTGGATAATTATTTAAATTGAAAGCAATCTATCTAAGATTGAAATTTTGTATAAAATTTGAATTCAAATATATTAAATCATAATTTATCTTTTCTTTTTAAATTTAATGATAATTCCAAATATATGTACTTAATAAAATTTTATTTTCTATCAAATAATTTTATTTAATAAATTATTTAAATTTAATATTTTTAGATAATTATTTAAATTCAAATAAAAATCTATCAAAGATTGAAAATTATTTAATAGATTATTTAAATTTAATATTTTAAGATAAGTTAATGAATTATTGACTAGAAAGTATGTATTTTTAAAGTAATAAGAGTTTACATTTTTATACAAAAATGTGAGATATTTGAATGATGATAAAAAAAATTAGATAAAAATATGTTTTTGTTTTGAAAACAAATATAATGTTTTATTTATGTTCTAATTCAAATATTTTTATATTATATGTTTGGTTAATTTATTTGTTTCTTTTTAATCCATAATTTTTTTAAATTTTGCTTAGATTGATTATAACTAACTTTTCATATTATATTTTTTTGTGTTATTCATTTCTTCAATGTTTTCATTCTCAGTTAATTTATTAACATATTTGCTCCTATTATTGTATATCTTTAATTTTGACAAATTGAAATGTAAATTTATATTCTCTATTTTCTTTTACTATATTTTTTATTATTAAATTTTTTTATCTACAATAGATGGTATGAAAAGAATGATGATCACCATCATATCTAACCCACAAAACTAATTATGTTAAAAATGATTAAAAGTAAAAAAAATATATTTCAAAAAAAAAGTTTTTAAGCATAACATAAAGAATCATTGTTTTCTTTTTATCTAAAATATAACTTTATTTTGTTGACATATAAAAAAATAATTGTTAGTCCAATATATTTGTGTAATAATTATTTTAAGTATGTCAAAAATAAGAACTAATAAAAAGCAAATATTTATGACTAAATTAATAATTGTGATTTATTACTCAATCAAATATATATATATATATATATATAAATCAAACAAGAAAAAAAGGGTAGCAAAATTTTTAGTAAAAACAATTATTATATATATATATATATATATATCTCAACATTATCATAAAAAAAATTATTAATCTTAACTATTTAACTATTTGATTCTTAATTTTTTATCAAACAAGAAAAAATGATAGCAAAATTTTTAATATTTACCAAATGAATTGAAAAAAATATTTTTTTATAAAAAAGAAATGATTTTTATAATTTTTAAAAATTTATAAAAATTTAAACTTCTTTTAGATTAATCATATCATTCATAATATATTATGTATAAGTTGTCATTTAATTGTAATTTAGCATTTATAAATATATGATTATATATTAGAACAATAATGAAAAAATAAATTTAAAATTATAAAAATTTTAATATAAAATCATGTGCATTGTACGAGTTAAAAAGTTAATTAAATATGTATTTGGATACAAAATATATAATAAGAAGATAAATTAATTTGTATTTAGCGAGATGAATTGTAATAAAAAATAAATTAACTATTAAAAATATTAAATTAAAATATGTATATGATTAAAATTTTTAATTATTTAATATTTATAAAATTTATTTATTATATAATAGTTACTAATAAATAATAAAATTTATTTATGATATTAAATTAACAAAAAAACATTTTAAGATTTTAAAATAAAAATCAATAAAAAAAATCATAGAGATATTTTAGATATTACAATATAATTTAAAAAATAAAACTAAAAAAACTTGTGGCCGGTCATCGACTAGACCAAAAATGTCAGTTTGATGACTGACATTTTAGCAAACGCACTATTATATCATTTAAAAAAAAAATTTCCAAATGGCACATTTTTTATGATAATTTAAGAGTGTAAATGATATATTAATATTCGTAAATTATTTGAGTTTGATTCAAATAAAATTTAAATTCGATTCGATTATTATCGAGTTAAATTCGAATTCGAGTAATTCGATTTATCGATCGAATCGAGTTTGAATATTTTTATATTTGATTAGAGTAGTTTATGAGTCTAATCGAATTTTTATATTTAAATATATTTTTATTATTTTAATTAATAAAATACTTCAAATTTAAGTTTAAATTCAAGTATAAATAATCAAACTCTTATCAAATATACGAATCAAACTTATTTTTATATATAATCAAATTTAATCGAATGAGTTCGAATAACTTAATTTCGATTATGAATCGAATTTAAACTAAAAAAAAATAAAATTCAATCAAATTTAAATCAAATATTGAATCGTAAATTAAAAATCAAACTCAAATTTAAACTTTATCATTTTTACTTGATTTAATTATACCTATATGACAAGTACACTTCACCGATCTCCAGTTGCTTCCAAAGGGGCCTAAAAGTGAAGTCAAAATATCTATCCTACATTGACCTCGTAGATTTACTAATTAGAGTCGAAACTATTTTTAGGTCAAAATTGAGGCAAAGAAAACATTTTTTTAACAATAAAATTCAATTTGATTGGTATTTATTAGATAAAATTAAAAAGTTTTAGAACCCTTATGCTAAGTAAAACTAATAACTTCAGTCAAATTAAAAAAGAATTTTGAATATCAAGAATAGGCAAAAAAAAAAAAAAAGAAGTTTGTTAATTATTAAAAACCCCATAATTCTATTTCATTGCCCATTGTTAGTCCATTTACTATATTTATCGTCCTATCAAATATAATAAATATATAAAAGTTCAAAGCTTTTTATAAAATGGTAATTGTCTTATGTAATGTGAAATATTTTAGCCAAGCGTAATGTGTATTTCAATTAATAATTTTAATTTGATTTTTATTTGATATAAATAAATTCACAGATATTTTGAATAATTTATTATATTTATTTCTTTTTAAGTTTTCAATATTCTTATTTCCATTTTAATTATAGTCAACTTTTCAAATTCAAAATTTGAAATTGCAAATTTTTATAACTAATTGTCCAAATTACAATTACAAAATAGTGATATTCCTTTTACGTGTTCAACATTCTTTATTTCACGAATGCTTTTGAGATTTTAGATTTATATTCAGGCGATCGAGCACATTTCTTTGGCTCTTCTATTGGCTTGTTCATAATAATTATTCTGAATGAAAATATATGGTGTAATTATTAAGGTTTCATTCATTTGCTTACAATTGGGTTGTCAAAGGCAAACTGCAACATATGCATTTTCTTGTAACTAATCAAGTAAATAATGAAGGAAAATGTTAACACCTTGCAACACATTTTACAGGAGAAAGAATTATTATATATAAAGCTGAAAATCTTGTAGGTGTTCTAAACTCTTTAAAAATAAACAGATTGTGGCCCAAAAAAAAAAACATATTGTAAGATGTAACATTTTTTGTGTTTTAAAGTCGTTGCAAGTAATAATAAATAGGATGTTGAAACCTGAAAGACTTGTGTGTGATGCGATAAATCCAGGGTACAAGAAATTTGACTTTATTTTTTTATACATTATGTTATTAAAGATTGAATCCTCATTATTAAAATTAAGATTTCAACAGTTAATCAATAGACTGCACAATTGTATCACTAATATTTTTTTTTTCAAACTATTGTATTTTAGTTGTAGAGGTATAAATATTTATGAACTGAACTGGATGGGTCCAGTTCTTTAGAATTTTTTTTTTCTCAAAAAAAGTTTTTTCTTATCTAATCAAGCTCAGTATGTCCAGAATCAAAATTGAAGTCGGGCAAGGCCAGCCTTGGTTGGTTCAGCTTGGTATTTACTAGTACTAAGTACTAACCCTGTCTACAATTATAACGCGGAAGAAATGCAAATGAAACAGGAAATAATTATACAATTAATACTATTAATTCTTTATTGGCCAAAATATAATACTGATTCAAGCCAGTAACTTTCTACTTGCATATACATTCATTGATATGACATGTTCCCTTAAATTGTCTTTTATTGTCAACAATTTCAAAGATTAATCATGGAGCTTCCCCTTCACGTTGTTATACTGTTAGGCACTCCTTTGCTAGTAACTCCTGGTCCTGAGGATGGAATGAGCAGCTCATATGGTGAAACCCCGGCCCCACATCTATTTCTAAGATTTGGATCAGCATTTCTTCTTTCTATCTCTTTTTCTATCCTTCTCATCTCCATTGAAAATTTGTAGAAGGCCTCAATTATTTCAGGGTCTCCTCTCCAAGTTGAAAGGTCTTTTCTATCTCCTAAATACTCTTCATCAGCTGAATGTGTCGAGACTATGTCAAGAACAGACATGAAATATGTTGTTTCTCGCAAACTTGGCAATGATGACAGGAAATACCCCTCTGGATCTGCAAGGAAAGTCGCATACTCCGGATCATTCTCATTTGGCACTAGTCGTCGCATGTGTGGTGGACGCACTGGGACATATCCACCATAATGATACTGCCCGAAGTTCAGAGCGGCGTGTTTTGCTGATGCAACCCAGATTATGATGGTGAGTATGGAGACAAGATCATCTGGAGTTGAGAGTTTAGGCCACCAGCTCGCATGACAGATATCAGGATGGCCTAAATTGATTGATTCATAATACCAAGCGTTGAGTTCTGAGTCTGATTGAATACTAATTTCCTCACGGTAGTAGTAGTTCACATAAGTTTGAACAAGTTCCTCAATGGCAGACCATATGAGCAACCCATCATTGGCATATGGGTAGTCTTCAATAAGTAGTTTAAGTCCATGTGGCTGGGTTTGATCTGGCACTGCAATCCCTCTAAACAGATAAAAGATGAAATCTTATACTCAATTCCTGAATTTTAGAGTATCTACTTTTGAATCCAACCAAAATTTTCAGGTCGAACATACCTTCTGATGAGGTCTGCAGGGAGGCTTTCCATGTCAAAGCGCCACCAATTTTGATAAGCTGAAGCAGTAATCTCCATAGAACATTCTGCTGTGGAGAAGAAGGACTCGATTATTCCTCCAGCATTGATGAGATCCTCGCGAGCCTGTGCATTTGTTGCCAATGTGTATCGCATGTGAGGATGAAGAAGCTTGTAAATTGGATGCATTATGCTTAGTTGTCGATGCGCTGCTATGATAAATGGTTCCATACATGCATGAATTCTCAGCCTGTCATTTTAGTTTAACTTGAATCTTAGTTGATCATCTAAATATATTTCAATTGTTTTAATTCATTTTTGCTAAAATCAATTTAATTATGTTTGCGTGTACCAATGATGAATGAGTTGATGACAGCCGACATCATTTGAGCAGACATGGGCTTTACCAAGTTGCCACAACCAGCTGCTAGTGGCATCAGATGGAGGGGTGAGAACCTGCTTTGGAGGTGAATTTGGATTTGTGGGTGGTAGGCTGAGCTCAATAGCAATTGGCTTCAAAGTTCCCATTTGTGTCAAGAGGAAAATAGTTCGAGTTGCAAAGGCTTTTCGATCTTCATGAGCATTTATGCGGTTAAGATATGGAAGGTACACATCATGGTAGTCGAGTATGAACAACTTTTTCTCTTCTAGTGCCTGAAAAACAAGTTCAAACGTAAAAACTGCAGTAAGTTTTATAAATTGAAAAACAAAATTCGATCTGATATGTTTGTTTTAAGCATATCAGTGATCTGCCATATTTCTTCCCATGTTTGAGTTTAATCTTTTTCAAACCTGTTGTACGGACATCCCATTAAGGTGGCATGTGATGTGTTCTTCTCTTATTGCTGACTGTTTTGGACCGTAGATGGAGGGATCCAGATTGCTAACGGGCGGAAAAGTCTGCAAGGCAAACTTGTCTTCAATAAAAATTACTTAAAATTTTCAGTTATCACTAAAAAAAAGAAATTATTGTGGTCACCTTTAGCCTTTCTATGCTTAAGGGGTTCATCCCGGCAAGTGTCAAACGACCCAATTCATCATCTCGTACACAACATGATGAATCCCCTGAAATTAGAGCAGATTTTTTTTTTTTTCAAGGATTACTCAAGTTTCACCAATGTTTTCAAGTTTTCATTTTTCACTGTGACACATTAGTTAAAGAGCAAGAAACTGATGCTTACTGGAGATGATGTTTGGAGGATCGAACTTGAAAATGTTTCCACTAGATTCTTTGATCATCTTATTAATCATTATTGGAAATTGAAGTTTCTCCCTAAATCCATTTTGTTTATGTAACTTGATTTCAAGGAAAGGGCTTTCTTTATAGAGATCAAAGATTTCGGAGAACGTTTTAATAGCATCATTATCAGTTGAAACATCTTTTAGCCATGGAACCAAGTTATTAAGCATTCCCTTCCTCTTTCCTGCTGCGATTGTTTCTCTCTTCAATTCCTCATATGCTTCATCTCTTGGCACATACATCGGTACCATCTCGCTTACAGGGGACTCTGCATTGACATCTGAGACATATGCAAGTTAACTTGATTTGTTCAAATTTTATAGATAAAATTTTCAATATACATATAAGATTAAGTTTTTTCAATAGTCGCATGGTCCATTGGTAGAGTACTGGACTATTAATTTTAGTTCAAGATTCAAATCCTTGATCTAGAAAATATGATATGTGATACTCTAAAGGATCACCTGTATTTGTTGGAGGGCGTCCAGTCCTACACCGTCGTGGATAAGGACAATTTTCGCCACCTAAAATTAGCCTTACATATTCAATACCTTGATCAGGATGTCCTAAATCATGGTAAACATCGTAGTCATATATTCTATCTGAAAATGTCCTGACACCCTCTCCATTGCCCCTTAATTGCTTTAGTTCCTTTTCTCTTAGCTCTTTCAGTCCCACCGGTGTTTCACCAGGTAAGTATGCCTGCCATCATATTATAACATCAGTCAATTGTTCCTTTGTATAAATTATTGAATGAGATCTTTAAATTTTGATCATTTGCTAGCAATATTAAAGAAAACAAGACGTTGACCTTGTCAGAAAAGAACACCCTTTTCTCTGCTTGGAGCTTATGTGGTTGAACCCAAGAGTTGCAAGCAAAATGGACAAGTCCTTCAACGGCGATGGTTTCCAGATAGAACTCCTTGTGACAATTGTTAGTCACGATGATGGCTCCTGGTACCCCAAAGTTTGCATCCACCAGAAATTGAACTTTGTGACGACTAAATTTATCAGAATCTTGTTTCAGGGTTCTGGACCAATTTATTATAGCTTCCTTGCTCGTCTTTGGCCTTCGGGTAACTTCATTGATTTAAAGGATGGAATTAGAGTAGTCAAGATCACAAACAATAATGTATGAATTGAAAACATTATATATCTTTCATTAGAGGACGATGATCAATGCTTACTTAGATCAATTTCCGTGCTAACAAGCTGAAGAATGACAGACTTTTTACTTATGCTACCTTGATCAGAATCTAACCAACGAAACATAAAACCCTTCATGTTTTCCTTGATGTCATACTTGACTGTCACCAGAGCTGTCACCTTGATCAGTTGCACTGGAATTTCTGCTAGAGCTTTGACCGATTCAGCCTCAATCAAAGCTGCCATGGGGGTTGCCAGCACTTTCCTTGCTCGCATTATTAATCTTCTCTTGCCTAAAGAAGAAGAAGAAGAAAAACTACTTTTACGGCTGAAAAGATGGCTGGAAACAAGAGATTTTAAAGGGAATAATAATCTATCAATTGCCAGTGAACAAAAGATTTCCCCTGTTCCTGCCATATGAGATACCAAGTGCTGATATTATTTTTGTTTCTCTGAGGTGATAATTGAGTTTAACTCAATCAGTTTCCCTTTTATAGAGTGAATAAGGGTCACCAAAAATCAATTCAAACCGATTTAATTAATTGAAATTGATGAAATATGGTCAAGTCGATTTAGTTTATTTGATTTTAATTATAATCAACTTTTTAGATTGATTAAATTGATTAAATCAATCAATTTTTTATTTTTAAAATTGATTATCGAATTGATAAAATTAATTAATTTTTTAATAAAAATAAAAAAATTAAAATAAGTATTTTTATTTTATTTATAAAATATTATTAAAATTATTAAATTTTTTAATAATTTAATTTAAATGATATTTGAATTTAAATTTTATTATATTAAATTTATGACTAAATAATTATTCATAATAAAAAAATGATAAAAATTTAATTATTTAATCGAATTAATCAAATTAAATTACTTTTAATCAATTCAATTATAATTAATAATTTTAAAATTTTTTATCAATTTAATTATTTATTAAATAAAAATTAATTAATTCAATTATTAATTTCTCAAATTGAAACCACGTAACCTATCAAATTTTCACCTTTAATGAATCAATATATGATGCTGTTGCTGGCCGCACTAAAATTATGTAAAACGTGTAAAATGTAAATATAGCCACCGGTGGCTTTTCACACCATTCAGATAATGTGCCAAACGAAATATTAATGTTAAATAAATCAATTTGGAAAACCTTTTTCTTCCTGTTAATTACTTATCTGATTTTATAAAAGACTTTAAACGCCAAATTTTAATACCATCGCATATTTGGACTACTCAGATTGATCAAAGTTGGACTTCAGCATAAGTATTAATAAAAGTTGAACCTAGTATCTGTGGTCTATCAACAATCAATTGTTAGAGATAAATGGAGGCGGAACGTAAGATTGTAACAAGCTACTTAGATTTTATTCGATGAATATTTAAGTTTGACTTGGTGATTATGAAATCAATTATAATCGTTCATTATCTTCGACAAGGTGTTCCCATTTTTTTTTCCAATATTTAGAGTTAAACTAGTTAAGGTATCTTCCTGTTCTACACTGTAAAATGTTAATGGCTCTAATTGGTTTTTTGAACAGGTAGCGGCTCTAATTAGTTTATTGTCGATAAATACTACAGTAGTAGATTCCAGTAGATGTGGTCCTGCTGTTTCATCTTTGTAGATGGACAATGAATATGGTCAAGAATTTTTTTCTTTTCTTTTCAGAATTATTGAATGTACGAATGGCTGAGCAGCAACGAATCACACCTAAAGATATTGACAAACCAAGTGAAGATAATGGTATTTTAATCATAACAAAAGAGGAAACGGTGAAACACGTGAAGATAATGGTATTTCAATCATAACTAAAGAGATAACAGTAAAACACGAGCCCCTCCTACTTATTTAATCCAGTCTATATTTATATCTATACAATATATCTATTTCTATATCTATATTTATACTCTTTATTAAAATAATTCTTTAGAGGACATTTAATTCATAAAGTCTTAAATTTTGAAAAAAAAATAATATTTTAAAAACGTATAATACTCAATATTTTATTTGATTTTTATAATATCTCATATTTAAATTTATTTATTGATTGTGGAGAATCCATGTATATTAATTTTTATATAATTATCATAATCTTTTTTATAAATTTACAACAACTTTTTATTTTATTTTATTAATAATAAATATCCAAGTGACGAATTATCCCTTTAACAATAAAAGAAAACAAATATTTTAATTGATTATTGTTTTAATTTATAAAATATCATCAATTAAGACATTTACTAATATGAACACTTCAATTGAGGCGTTTGTTACTTTGAATGTCTTAATTGATACATTTCATAATGTTAACATATCATCAATTAAGGGGGTTAGGTAAATGCCTTAATTGATCCTTTTTTTTATAATTTATAAAGCATATCAATTAAGGTGTTTGTGTTGAGAAATACCTTAATTGATCTTAAGGTATTTTTTAACATAAACGTCTTAATTGATTATTTTAAAAGATTCATTCCTTATTTTTGAACTTTGAAAAACTAAATAGCTAATATAGTTGAATGATAAAAGCTGAAATGCATGTATTTTCCTAAACCTATCAACCCATTTACTTGGCACTTTGGTTTTTTCATCTCCTCCTTCGCTGTTGACTGTGAACTATTCAACACTATCGCACATTTCTTTAAGTTGGCATATGCAAATTTAATCTTTTTGTACAATGTTTATTCATCTATGTATGTCGTTTTTTTTTCTTCTTTACTATATATTTGTATATTTATTTATATAAGCATTTACCACTATCACTAACGTTATACACCCTCTCTGCATTGCATGCATGGTGTTTTCTTTATTGTTTGGTTTGAGTATTATAGTTTGCCGAATGGTTTTATGAAAAATAATTGTAATATTTTTTCTCATTTGTTTTGTATGGAACTCTTATGATATGATGAAACATAGTATGCTCCTACCCTGTATAATATTATTGGTTTTGTTTTGTATAATGTATATTGGTATATTTACTGTATTGATTTTGGTTGTTTTTACTATATTGGATATTGGTTGTTTTTACTATGTAGGATATATAGAGAGACAATTTAGTGTATTTCATGTAATTTTGATCAAAATCGCTGGCATTATGACTTCCAAAGAATATATGTCTCCTTCTATTAAACATGAAGAAAACACGCCAACCTTGAGAAAAAAAAAATCAAGGGGACCTTGTAAATAAATTAAAGTCAATGGGACAAAAATTCACATGGGGTTTAATCAAGATGGACAGCCTATTTTAAGTGGAGGTGCAAAGTTGGCTAGCCACATTGGAGCTGTCATTTGGCAAAGTATACCTATTACCTACCTTAATTGGTGGATGGTTCCTGATGATAAAAATGACAATATAAGGGATTTGATTGTGGTATGTTTATTCAACAATATCCAAAATTTTTTTAATTGTTAATGGAATTGAATTACTGTGTTGAGTTTATTTAATTTATTCATTTTTTTAGGAACTATTTGACTTTTCAACTATAAAAAATTTATGTTGCAATCGGTTGAGAAAGCATTTAGAGACTTTAAGAAAAGATTGACAATCCAATATAGTTTACCATAGGTTGCTAATTCTGAATTGTTAGCTGATTTTCCAATGGCATATGCAATGTTATCAATTATGAAAAGTGTTCACAGTTTGTTCAAGATCGTCTATCAGATGAATTCTCGGTATATATACCTAGTTTATTAATTGTTTATAATATTTTCTTTAATATTTTTTTATGTTAATATGTGATTTATCTTTTTTTTTTCAAAAAATCAAATAACAACAAAAGAACATTTGGACCCAACAATAATATCACCATCGAAAATCGAGAAAGGGTTATGCAAATGTCAAGCATAATCTTGTAAGTATTCAAGCACTTGTTTTATACTCTTATATGAATATTTATGAAATGTAAACGGAAATGTGAAACTTATAATGATTCATAATTTTAAAAATCATCTAGCTCTGAAACTGAAGTTTCTAGATGTATGTTTAGCAAAAATGACATTTGTGTAAAGATGGATCATTCGCAAATGAAGCAACTGAAGAAATACCTAAAAAGATTATAAGTTCATTTCGTTTTTATATCACGTATGATGAAAATGCTTTTATGCATGACTATATATTGTATTTGGTTAGTTACGCACCATCATTTTATGTTTCAGGATGAATTTGCTATGAGATATGAATCCAGTGACTTGTGAACTGATTATGGTGAAGATTCATTGTCCTTAACTTTAGAATCCAAAAATAGACATGATTGAATTCAAGGGATTGGTAGATTTGTGTTGCCATCACAGTTATTCAAGAATCAACTCAAACCCCGCGTAATGAAAAATGTAAAATATGAAGCAATCATTTAGTAACAATAGTAAAGACATTGTGAGTAAGAGTAATGCCTTAATAAATAGTAGCAATGACTTGCAATTTTGGAGGCAATGTTGGCAGCAATGCAACCTAACATACTTTAAAAGTAATTTGTTATCGATATTATAATAGATAGATCTGTAAACCTATAATTAAACATTGACTTAAAGAGTTGCCACCAATTTTTTTTTGTTTAGATGCAATTAGCCTCATAACTAAATCTATCTCATTTTAAAAAGATGTCCCAAGCTTGACTAAGTATCTTTAAAAAATAGATTCACATCTACAAAACTAGAACTAGGTCCGGGAGTATGGTTACATATAAGGAAGGTTATAATACCCTCACAATGCCCATCCGAAGGATGATACTAGTTTGATTTTATATTGTCCAAGCCTTAAAATGTGTTTGTAAATTTACCAAGTAAATTTAATAATGAAAATTGATTTTAAAATTACTCTAATCATTTGGTAGCAATTTAAAATAATTTTTTCACCTTAAGAATATTCGTGGAGACTCGTGTTCTACTCTAAAGAGGCTCCGTAGTCAGATTCATTAATGCAATTTTCATGAATTAATTGTTCTTAAAAATAATCAATTAAATCCTCCAATCATTTGGTAAGATTTTATATCGATGTATATCCTCAATTTTTTGTGGATTTTTACTTAAAAACCTTTTTTATGAAAATTTTTAAAAAATGGTCATTAAATTTTCTAATAGTTCAGTAAGATTTAATTTAAAAATTTAAATCCTTCAATCAATTAGTAGGATTGAAATTTTATTTTATTTTTAACAAAATTTATTATGAAATTCTCCAATCATTTGGTAGAATTCATAATTCAATATTTAAATCTTCTAATCATTTGGTAGGATTGAAATTTTTTTTTTCACAAAATTTCGTTATGAAATTCTCCAATCATTTGGTAGAATTCATAACTCAAAATTTAAAATCTTCCAATCATTTGGTAGGATTAAAATTTATATTTTTTTATGTAACTTTTGTTATGAATTTTTTCAATAGTTTGGTAGAATTCATATTTTAAAAATTCCTAAACTAGTGAAAAATCCCCTGATC